CGAACGCGATTCGACAACGCGACGCGAATTTTCAGTTTTTAAAAACAAATTAAACTGTCTCAACGGATAAAAATTTTACAGGATATGCAGACCAAATGGCTAATATTGCTTAAGTGGTTCAGAATATTTGAAAAAACATAGAAAAATATTGAAGTTAAATTTCATTGAAAATTGAAAATTCTCGTCGTTGCCAAATCGCGTCCGGGCTGCATGGGCAATGAAGTAGTGGTATATATTATAATTTGGTTGCAGAGCGCAGTTGTTATTTTCTTATGTTAATTTGGATGACTTTAACACAGCCACCTACTCACAATAATTCTGAGAACCCTGCTAATACATAAAAACCCTTTAATGTTCCTTAGGTTCTTGTATATCAGTATATATCCAGCTACTGAAAGGGGAGTACGACTCTCTGCTGCGCTGGCCTTTCCAACAAGAAGTAAAATTCACTCTCATTGATCAACAAAACGACTTGGACGAACGTCGAAACATCGTGAAAGTCTTGGCACCAGCTGGAAACAACGAAGGCGTAGTGAATTTCCAGCGACCAATCAAAAGTTGCAACACTGGCCGTGGTTATGCCAAGTTCGTCCCGCATGACGTCATACGCACGCGCAGATACATCCGTGACGACATGATGTATTTGAAGATCGAAGTTGAGCCCACTGCGACGGTGGGATAAAACCAGTGGATAAAACTTTTGGATATCGTAGTACTTTATGTGAGATTATTATTAAGGTTATTGATGTATCTTATCCGTAATGCGGTTGAGCGCACTTGCTTCTGCAGGGATAAACATTTCTACATGCATGCAGTACGTAACAATTTTTTACGGTTTAGTTGATTTTTTGCCCTGTGCAATGTATTCGCGAACGACAAGAATTAATGGTGTTCGCCCTCAACATGACCAGGGCTTTCAACAGTGCTCAAATATTCCTCTATTCTTTCCCGTAAATGACTATTTGGTTGAAAAGGAAAAAATGTGGAGCGTTATAGTTTACAGTTAGGTTGGAACAATGGATTGGAGTAACAGTTTAAGCGCAGTGGCGCCGTCAAAGGAGGCACCCCTCCCCCACCCAATGTTTTTCAGAGTGTAGTTTTAGATTTATCATTTCCGATGAATTGAACGCATGGGTTCGCACTGTTAAAAAGTATTTATCAAGACCTATACATTTTTTTCCAAGTGCCTCCACAATCCAGGAAATGCCGTTTCAGAGCATGTCCATGAACGGATGAACCACTAGAAATGTGACGTCACAGACGATTAAGTCTCCCCCCCCCCCATAAAATCCTGGTGGCGCTACCGTTTAAGCGTGTGCGCTCGCTTGTACTCATATTGGCTCACTTGTACTCATATTGGCTCACTTGTACTCCCAACTAAGGTAATGGGCGAAAATTAATGCATGGTGGAAATACTTAGTCTCCTTCGTAGCCGTTCTTGGTGTCGAGGTTTGGCGGCTGCAAAGGAGACTAGGAAATACTGCGTTCTGCACTTTTCTAATTCTACTTTTTTTTACACTTTTTAGTTTCTTTAATTATTCACAATTGATATATCATTTTCTATTTATATTCATTTACATGTACAATAGTTGTATCAGTTTGTAGTGAAAGTGAAGGACAGCATGAAGATTTCGCCAGTACCACATTTCACAGGAAACTAACATTGATTTTGTATATTCTTGCACTAACGTATTGAAAATAGCAAAAGAATAAATTTGTAACCAAACATCTATATTGTTGAACTTGCATTTTCTCGTTACTCGGAATTCATTGTAGTTTACTAGTTATGGCATCCTTTCGATTCCTATTCTTAAATCTTTGTTGAGTAAATCTCTTTCCAAGAAATGAGCTTGCACAATAATTGTATCAGTTTATAGTGAAAGTGAAGGATAGCATGAAGATTTCGCCAGTACCACATTTCACAGGAAACTAACATTGATTTTGTATATTCTTGCACTAACGTATTGAAAATAGCAAAAGAATAAATTTGTAACCAAACATCTATATTGTTGAACTTGCATTTTCTTGTTACTCGGAATTCATTGTAGTTTACTAGTTATGGCATCCTTTCGATTCCTATTCTTAAATCTTTGTTGAGTAAATCTCTTTCCAAGAAATGAGCTTGCTTCCTTAAACTATCCTATTTTCAAAATCATTAACGATTTATTAAAACCCATGCAAATGAACTTATACGTTTTAATTAATTTTAGGATTTCTTCCAGATCCTTCAGAAATTTTCTATGTAAAGTATGAACCTCTATTACGATAAGCATCCACTAAGAACCACTAATCAATATTATAATAGTATGCCCGTTCGCAGGTTAGGTCATGCCCACCCACCGATTTGTACTGTGTCTCGTGTGGCGTGGATAATAAAGATGTTTGAAGATCTTTGAAGCTATCCGTGATGAACTGTGATAAGAAAATAAGCCTATGAGCCTGAGGTAAGAAAATTTATTTGCCATCAAATTCAAGACGATACACTAGTAACTCTTATCTACATTTTGAAAACACATCGCGGTACTCGTAGTTTAGCCTGCATTTGGACAGGCAAGTTCGCTCTTCCTGCCACTTAGTCCAGTTCTGGCCCCTGACCGCACACTCTGCAAGCAACCGGAAGTCGTTCAATTCGAACGAATTCCCGGAATTCGAGGCCATTTTGGGAGTCTGTATGACGAAGGCTCGCAATTAACATTCAAAAGAGTTCTTGGATTTTGGATAAAAACTCGACACGAAACGAGGATTAAAGCGAGTTTTTGCTTCAAAAATCATGGGCATTTGTGGACGGCTACTGTCTTTATACAGGCGTGAAGAAGCGCCTGTAGACAAGCGGGGAAAAGCGTGTTTGGCAAACGGCGAACTCTACACCATAAGCTACTCGCCACATTTGAGAGTCAAGGTTTGTATATTATTAATACTGTTTATTGCGGGTGTTGGTCTTTATGTGCTTGTTTTGTCTGTTAAAATTGTGTCTCAATTTAGCGATATATCTTTGTATTTTTAATGAACAACGTCGAGCAGATATTGTTTGTAATATTTTCCTCAAAAAGTATTAATTCAACGCAACGTGTTTATAGTTTCGGTTTGAGCCTCTAGACACTGTCTCAAGTACATGTTAATGCTTGAGATCATTACGGTGTATCATCTTGGTCGAAATTTCTACTAATGAATGAAAAATATAAGATAATAAGATTTGAAATAATTGGCTTACTTGTCAATATATGAAAATGAAAGAATATTACGTACGGCTTTCCCAGAATTTTGTCTGCTTGATGTATTTGGTTTCATTTTCATGTGCAACAATGTATCACCTGCCTTGATTGGGGAAAGATAACGATTAAGTGTTTCGGTGTTCAGTCTGGCTGACTCACAGATGGTTAGATCAGATCTGAGAGAGTAGATGTGTCTGTGAAATATGTAAAATTGCATTACTAATATTGTCGCACTGGGCAATATTTATCAACCAATATTTCATATTTGAAATGCTGCCACTTGGATTCTGATGTAAAAATTATAGTCACAATACAAGAACCTTGTCAAGGCTGCAGTTGCCATTTAGTGTAATTTGTTCTGCATAATACCACACCGAATTATGGGCCAATGCTGCGATAGCAGTTAAATTTTGCACCTTTTTGCTAAATGCAGTGCAGGGTTGATTGAAAAATGCATCCGTTGCTAAGAATTATCATTAAAAAAACCCAGAAAACTTAATTTTGTCGGAAGTGGGAAGATTCTCGTATTTTGACTGTAGCGCTTGTTAGCTGAACCATTTTATTAAAGCCAGCTACGGACAAGCAAATTTCACACTTGTTCAAAACGATACTGCCTAGCTTTTGAACAAGTTTTTAAAATTTTTATTAGCTTTGCCAATAGTTTACATTACAATATAATATTAATTAAAGCTACATTATCTTTGTTCGGGTGGCCGCAACAGCAATTAGCCAATTACTGCGTCCCCAAATGTACGTGATAGCAAAAATGAGCAAGGTATAAATTTTACTTATCGATCTATATGTGACAACAAGGAAAATTTGACAATTAAAGTAATTCGAACACTTAGTTGCGGTTGGACACAGCGATATATGTTAGTAGTTCATGTGGTTGCAGAAAACCAAATACTTGTCATAGAAAAGTTACTGTACTTTTAGGTGGAAAATTGAAAAATAGAACTTGCCATATGAAAACTTGTCATAGAAAACTTGCTTGTACGTAACTGATTTAACCCTTATAGTGCCCGCACTCGATTTCACCTCGACGAGTGAAATTGTCTGGTGTTAGACAGTGTAAAATAAAGTAGGGGCAATGTAATTAAGTTAATGGGTTAATCATAAAGGCGTTGTTGTTGACATTTTTGTATCAAGAGATTGTTGGGCGCATAATGGTCGATGATGATATTCAAACATAGAGGGACTACATTTAAATTAAACTCTGAAAGAGGAGACATGCATGGCATACTTTCTTGGAAAATATTGTAATTTAGTGTCTTGAAAGGGCTATTGTGTACCGGATACAGGATGTATCACAGTGTAAGAATCCCTACCTATCAGTCTAGGATCAGCATTCGGTTCTTGAGACATTTTAGCACAATAATTAAATTTAATAAGTGTGTTTTGATAGAGAATGAAATAGGTTCATTCAGTGATAATACACATACAGTAATCATAAGTATACAATATTGTGTGTCGGATACACAAAATGTTAAGCACTTGGAAATAGGATTTCCTGTATTCTGAGATGTGATCCTTACACTCTTTGTGGTGGTGAGATTCTTAGCATTTTTAGCTGATATAGGCTCAGTCAATTCACTAGTTAAGTTTTGTCCACCTACAATGAACCTAAGTGTTAGGTCTGTGAGGTCTTTAGTGCAAGCTTGACAACTAGAACCGCGGGGCTGCAGGTTCGATTCCTCCAAATGCCGGGATAGAAAAAGTATCGGACCATTGGTCCCAGAAAATTTTTCCCCAAGAAAGAAAGATTGTAGTAATTTAGATAAAAGGAGAATTCAGAGGGAAAATTCAAATCATGACCTCAGAAATGCAATTATAAGTGCATCCATATTAATAGTGCGATGGTGTACAGTCTATAGAATGATGTAACAAATGTTGTATGGCAAATGCATTTTTAGCTGATCTGGGACACCTGATTTTCAAAATTTTCTGGGGGGAGCATGGATCTCCTTGATAGTGTCCCCTAGTAGCTAGTTCCCTAGCTTTTTTGGCATCTGTATTTACCTTAGGATCAACCCTTGATGCATGTTATCTAAATTAGTTTTAGGTTATATGTTAGATTAAGAATCTCGGTGAAATATTTTTTTCCTGTAAAATATAGCTCATATGACATCCAGTTTGACTAATTGTTGGTGTCACACAGTTACAAAACAAGTGAAACTGCAAAAATCTATAACATTTTTATTTATCTACGTTTCGACTATATTTCAGTCATCATCAGGATAAACTGATGTTTATCCTGATGATGACTGAAATATAGTCGAAACGTAGATAAATAAAAATGTTATCGATTTTTGGAGTTTCACTTGTTTTGTGTTTTAAAATACTCAGTGGTTCTAGAAATTTTTCACACAGTTACAGTGTCAATTTACTTGATTTTCAATGTTCTCTTGTGGTCCCAGAAACTAAATTATTTTTCCGCCCCTGCCAGAGGCCTATACATGCAAGGATGGAT